AGAATACTGGAGTGGGTTGCTGTGCCCTCCTCCAGGGGGTCTTCCCGACCCAGGGATTGAACCTGCATCTCTTGAGTATCCTGCATAGGCAGGGGAATTCTTTACCACTGAGCCACCTGGGAAGCCCAGTTGACACTTCTTAATCCCCTTCTATCTGCCTATCCCCTCACCCAACTCTCTTCTGGCAACCACTAGTTTGCTCTCTTTATCTGTGAGTCTATTTCTGTTTTGTTGTATTAGCTTTGTTTTGCAGATTTCATGAAGTAAAACATACGGTATCTGTCTTTCTTTGTCTGACTTATTTCACTAGCATAATACTTTTCTGTTCCATTCATCTTGTCACAAATGGCAAGATTTCATTCTTTTTTTTTATGGCTGAGTAATATTTTAATATCTGGCTAAGGAAATGGCAAGCCACTCCAGTATTCTTGACTGGAGAATCCCATGGACAGAGGAGCCTGGTGGGCTACAGTCTACAGGGTCGCAAAGAGTTGGACACAACTGAAGCGACTTAGCAAATATTCTAGTATCTATCAATATCTATCTATTTATGTATCACATCTGCTTTATCCATTCATCTATCAATGGGCACTTAGGTTGCTTCCATATCTTGGCAATTATAGATAGTGCTGTGTTAAACATTGGGCTGCATATATCTTTGAGAGTTAGTGTTTTAGTTTTCGTTGGATAAGTATCCAAGAGTGAAATTGCAGGATTGTATGGTAGTTCTATTTTTACTTTTTTTGAGGAAACTCCATACCGTTTTCTATCCTTGGAACACCGCTCCTCCCACTCCACCCAGAAGGTACCACAGTACCTTCACAGTCCTTGTCCCACCAGGTCCCTGTGATGGGTCCAGGGGTGGCCTTGAGGCTCAAGGCAGGAAACGTCAGAATCCTTGCCTGGGGTTTGCTACCTGTATACTTGGGAAGAGTCCTCTCGCTACTCTGGTGGCAAAGGTCCAAGGACAGCGATCTGGTGCTGCCTGCAGCCAACACTCCCATTGGAGAAAATGAAGCAACACAGAGGGAGAAATGAGGATGAAATGAGGAAGAGAGAAAGACACTCACACAGACACACACACGCACACACACATACACACACGCACAGACGCATGCACACACACGCACACGCAAAGGGGCTCAAATCTTTCAATCCAGGCATAATTGAGGTCAGGCCCCTTTTATTCATTAGTAAAATAAGCCAATTACTTATTTTATCCTTTTGGCTTAATTTAGCCCTGTCATTTGCAAACCAAAGGGACTTAACTAGTATAAGTCATCGCCATATATTTGCTGAATGGTAGAATTAATTTGCATACCTGCCTCATTCCCAGTGTAAGTGAGGTAACTTCTGACAAGAACAAAGAAGATAAAATCTTAAAACAAAAATGGAGACTCAGGAATGTGAAAAGATAGTTGAGAAGAAAATGTGAAGATCTGGAGCAAGAACATAAAGATATAAATATGCAGGTCTATTATTAAGTAAAGCCCATAAGACACTCTGGGCTTCCCAGGTGGTGCTAGTGGTCAAGAACTCACGTGCCAGTGCAGAAGACGAAAGAGATGCTAATGCAATCCCTGGGTCGGGAAGATCCCCTAGAGGAGGCAACACCACCCACTCCAGAATTCTTGCATGGAGAATCCCCATGGACAGAGAAGCCTGGGGGGCTACAGTCCGTAGGGTCATGAAGAGCTGGACATGACCGAAGTGACTTAGCATGCACGCATAAAGCATTCTATTATCTGCAGATCAAATTTGGCTTTGAGCTTCCAGGGAGCCAAAGCAAAAAGGGAGATGGAGTAACTCAGCTCCACCACCCGCCCCCCGACCCCACGCCAGAGATAAGAAAGGGTACCAGTTCCTCAGGGGAAAGAGTATTTTTCTGAGGCCAATCTTAGCCACATTTAAATAGCCAACGTTTGTAATGCACCTTCTACGTCTGGTCTTTGGAGTTAGGCCTAGGGAACAAGTGAGGTTGCTAAATTTAGTTCACTCGGTCAGCCTTGCCTTGACCTCTCCGTGGCTCTTGTCAGAGCTGATCACCCACTCCTTTTTGAAACACTCACTTCACTTGGCTGGGAGCCCTCCCTCTCTGGGCTGACTTCCTCCCTGCCAGCCTCTCTCATCCGAGGTCTATGGCTGTTTCCCTGTCCTCCCCTGATCTCTAAATGGGGGTGGGCCCAGGCTCAATCTCCAGACCTCTCCTCTTCTTTCCTCTCTCTGCCTCCCTGGCCCAAGTCCTCTAGTCCCTCTCCTGGACAACGGTCCCTCTTTCCACCCTGGTCCTCCAGTCTAGTCTCTACACAGCAGCCAAAGGGAGCTTTTAAAAACCTCAATCAGGGTGACTTTCCTGGTAGTCCAATGCAGGGGGCCCGGATTCCACCCCTGGTCAAGGAATTAGATCGTGCAACTAAAACTCTGTATACCTCAACTAAAGATCCTGCGTGCCGTGGCCAAAGTCAAAGATCTCATGTGCTGAGACTAAGACCTGGCACAGCCAAATAAATTAAATGCATTAAAATAAATAAAAATGTTAAAAAAAACAACCCTGAGTCAGCTCCTCTCCCCTCCTCTGCCGCGTGTGTGCTCAGTCATGTCTGATTCTTTGCGACCCCGTGGACTGCAGCCCGCCAGGCTCCTCTGTTCCTGGAATATTCCAGGCAAGAGTACTGGAGTGGGTTGCCATTTCTTTTCTAGTCCAGGGGATCTAGTCCAGTCGGGAAGACCCAGGGATCAAACCTGTGTCTCTTGTATGTCATGCATTGGTAGGTGGATTCTTTACCATTAGCGGTACCGGAGAAGCCCATCACCTCCTCCCCCCACCAAATCTTCTACTGTGATGACTACTGTGACCAAATGAGATGCACGGGATATAATAAAAGATAATTTTTGTCTCCCAATGTCCCTCTGAAATCCATAAGGAAATTTGTCTCTGCCCCCAGATGAAGTCTTGACTTCCTGTGCCATATTTCCTCAGAGTGCTGGCCATTCTGACCACGGCTCTGAAGTCCTTCTGGAAGTTTCCTGTACACTTGATCCACGGGCCTGCCAGGATCTCAGGGAGCCCATTTCAAATTCCCTAGATTTAGGATTTGAAAGCAGCCCCTAGCCCCAGCCCCAATCTCATCACAAAATTCCCTTTTTAGAATCCACCTTCCAACCCTTCATAATCTTGAAGCAGACTGGGAGTTTTGTGTTGACAAAATGAGTTCTTCTATAACAATATCCTTTCACCCTTTCCATCATGTTTAGGGCAAATCCCAAGACCTTCCCGCAGCCACTGAGCCCTACATGATCCGAACTCTGAGCCCCCAAAGAAGTCTAAAATGTCAAAATATCAAAGAATATTACAAATAATTGTATGTCAGTAAAAATAAAAACGTAATGTAAAGGCATTTTCAGAAAAAATAGATCAATAACCAGCAAAAAAAAAAGATAATCTAAGACTCCAGTGCAAAAGAGTCCCAGTGGAAGGGGAACAGATGGTCCTTATCTGATACTAGTTGTTTCAGAAAACAGAGAATGAGAAGAGGCTGCCCACTTCCTCATCGACTCCCAAACCAGATAAGGACAGTATCAGAAAAGGAAAGGTGTAGAGCATTTCAATCTGAACCTGAAAGTTAAATTATGATCTACCAGAATAAAATATAGGAGAAGGCCCCACCTAGGAGTAGGGTAAGGATTTAAGACATTCAAAATGCAAACCCTCATGCAAAACCTTTATGGATCTGACTACATCAAAATTGAGGATTCCTCCAAATCAGGGACACAGAGAATAGACTGCTGGTTGCCAAGGGGGAGGAGGGTGGCAGAGGGTTGGACTGGGAGTTTAGGATTAGCAGACACAAACTGGTATATATAGAATGGATAAGCGACAAGCTCCTACTATGTAGCACAGGGAACTTATTAAATATCCTGTGGTAAAGCATAATGGAAAAGAATATGAAAGAGGCTAGATATACACACGTATAACTGAGTCACTTTACCGTACAGCAGTAATTAAATTGTAATTCAACTATACTTCAATTTTAAAAAATGAAAAAAATTAAGGATTTCTATTCCACAAAGGCCCTCAGAGATAATATTGACAGAAAGCTGGTTGCAATCTAGTGAATACAGAACTCCTGCACAAGTTAATAAACAAAAGCCCAGAAGCATAATACGCGGCCACGAACAGAAACAAGCAGCTGACAGGATGAGCCCAGAGGCAAAAAATAATGAAGAGTGGGTCAAAGAAGTAATCGTCACAACTCAGTTAAAATTACAATGAGGGGACTTCCCTGTCTGTCCAGTGGTTAAGGCTCCGTGCTCCCAATGCAGGGGGTACAGGTTTGATCGTTGAAGAAAGTGAACGTGTTAGTCGCTCAGTCGTGTCTGACTCTGTGATCCCGTGGACTGTAGCCTGCCAGGCTCCTCTGTCCATGGGATTTCCCAGGCAAGAATACTGGAGTGGGTAGCCATTCCCTTCTCCAGGGGATCTTTCCAACTCAGGGACTGAACCCAGGCCTCCTGCATTGCAGGCGGATTCTTTACCGTCTGAACCACCAGGGGAGTCAATCCTTGGTGGGGGAATTATGGTCCCGAAATGTGGCATGGCCAAAAGATTTTTTTATTTTTAATTATAATGAGATAACTTTAAAAAAAAAAAAACCGGGAGGCAGGGAGAGGGAGAGGGATGCGGCAGGTACTATCTGCTGTCTTCACAGGGTGTGAAGACCCTTTGGGATGGATGGTCCAGAGATTCCTTTGAGAGATGGAGAAACACAGGCTGAGCAAGGGCAGGGGGATCATACCGGGTCCACAGGAGTCCTGCAGAGGCAGGACTTGGCCTGGACTCTTCCTCAGCGTCCTGCCGAACTCTCCCCGCTGGAAGGAAGCTGGTCTTACATAGAGCCTTCTTGGTCTGCTTTGGCCAGAGCCCTTAAGACAGGCTCAGGACTGGTTGCCATAGAGATGGTGGGCCGGGCAGTTCCAAGGTTGGCAGATGGGGGTGGGGGATGGGGCAAGACACCAATATGCTAAACGCCTACCAACAGTTGGTCAGGACTTCTTCCGGGAGACCTGGGCAAGACGCACGGCAGCAGGCTCCGGGGACGGCCACAGGTCTGCTCAAGCTTCTCTCAAGCACCCACCACGCTGAGCAGGTGAGGGAGGCCCTGCGGGGGCACTGGCAACCGCCCAGAGGCAGGCTGGCTCTCTGGGGTGGGAGGTCAAGGCTGAAGGAGGCCACAAGATTGGAGCCGAGGCCCGGGAGAGAGTCAGGGAGGTCCGAGATGTGCAGGCACGTGGGGTGAAGGGGAGGATGATGCCCAGTTATGACTCCCAGGCTTCTGATGGAGCAGTTTTGACAAATTGGGAGGATTTGAGCTTCAGGAGAAATAATGAGTTTTTCCCTCCTTGGCTTTGCAAGTCCAGAGTCCTGTGGGGCACTGAGAAGAGCTGTCCAGGACCCAGAGGCAACCCAGGGCAATGGGAGCAAATCTGGGCTTTAGGATAGTCCACATGTTAGGTCCTGGCTCCGCTTCCTGGCTGTGTGACTTTAGTCAAGTGACTTCACCTCTCTGAGCCTCAGTGTTCTCACCTGCATAATGTGGGTGAGAGTAAGCAAGGACCTCATAGGATCCGTGTGTGTGTGTGCGCGTGCGCATGCGCGTGAGTTCAATTGCTCAGTTAAGTCCAACTCTCTGCGGCCCCATGGACCATAGTCTGCAACACTCCTCTGTCCATGGAATCTTCCAGGCAATCATACTGGAGCAGGTTGCCACTTCCTTCTCCAGGGCACCTTCCCGACCCAGGGATCGAACCCACACCTCCTGCGTCTCCTGCCTTGGCAGGTAGAGTCTTGATGACTACAGCCACCTGGGAAGCCACAGGGTCCTTGGGAAGGAAGGCTAAATGAGCTGATGCATGAAAGTCCCGAGCATGCAGCAGGTGCTCTGTGAATAGCACTGTTGGTTTTTAAGATTTATTTACTTACTTTTGGCTGCTCTGGGTCTTTGTTGCTGCAGGTGGACTTTCTCGAGTTACAGTGAGCGGGGCCTGCTCTTCCTTGCGGAGCTCGGCTTCTTATTGCAGTGGCATCTCTTGTTGTGGACCACAGGATCTAGGTGCTCAAGTTTCAGTAGTTGCAGCTCATGGGCTCTAGAGCACGGGCTCCTTAGTTGTGGTCCACGGGTACAGTGGCACTGCAGCATGTGGGATCTTCCTGGATCAGGGATCAAACCCGGGTTCCCTGCATTGGCAAGCAGATTCTTAACCACTAGACTGCCAGGGAAACCCACTGTTGCTATTTTAATATTAATAATTCAGGTCGTGACCTGTCAGTTCCAGGGGTAACAAGGGCCCAGAGGGCCAGCCAGGGTGCATGGGACTGTCTCCTGGGTGAGCGGCTCAGAGCTAGGCCTCCTCTCCTACCTTCGCCCAGAGGAGTCTTGGGAGCGGTGATGGTGTTATCCACGCCCAGAAGCAGAGGTCTCGGAGTGCGGGGCAGACACCAAAGAAGGACCGGAGGCTCAGAGGCCAGAACAAGAAAGGGCAAAGCTCTGCGGAAGCTGAGGAGTAAGTGGCTGTGGAGGGCCGGGAGGGATGCAGGGGGCCAGGCCCCGCTGGGGGCCGGCGTCCGGACCCTGACCCCTGCCCCCTGCCCTCTCCCTCCTCAGTCTCGTCCCCTCTCCTCCTCGGAAACCCTCCTTCCCCTTCCAGTGGGCCTGGGAGAGCTTCACCACAGATGGCCGGGCCCTGCATCAGCCGAGCTCCGTCTTGGCCCCTGGCCACCAGGCCCTGCCCTTGCCCCCGGCGGTCCATCACCACAAGTCCCGGCGCAAGTCCACGGCCGCCCTTCCGGAGGCCCACAGCTTCTGCTGGAAGACAGATGGGCCAAACCTGGAGAGGAGACAGCAGCTCAGGTCCAGCAGCTGCACCTCCATCCCTCCGGGCAGGGGGACGAGCCAGGAGCTGGAGCCGCCCAGGGAGGCAGGCCTGCAGTCACCCAGGAAGTCCTCGAGGTCCGGGTCGGAGCCCGAGGAGTCTGAGCCAGAAGGCCCAGGGGCTGAGGAGGCCGAGAGGGATCTGATTCCAGCGGAACTGCCCCAGCTCCCCAGGAGGGGGTTGATCTTGGAGGAGGAACAGTTTTCAGAGGCCACAGAGGAGGCTGAGGACGGGGAACACCAGGCCCCCCGGAGAAGGAGAACCAGTTCTCGAAGAAAGGGGCGGAATTCTGGTGAGGAGGCCTGGGACGAGAGTGAAGTGCGGTGCCTGGGGAGCATTTCCAGCTCCACCAACCTCCGAGGACCACAGAGGAGGAAGCCAAGGGCCAAGGAGCTGGAGGGGCCGTGGGACCTGGAGAAGCTGCAGAGGCAGCTGCAGCAGGAGTTGGACTGCGGTGAGTCCTGGGACTCAAAGCCCAGGTTCCCCACAAAGTCAGACAGTGTAGAGAGGGGCTGGAGCCAGCGACCTAGGCCAGGCATTCAGACATGGCCAGACTGCAGGGAGGGATTGCCCAAGGGGACAGGGAGGACAACAGTCCCTGACTTGTCCCTCTGCGGACAGGCCCAGAGAAACAGCCCTGGAAGTCTTTGCGGGCTGCTGTTCAGGCCTCCAACTGGAGCAAGAAGGCCCACGCCTTGGGAGATGATGAGACTTTTCTGTTTGCAAACTTCCCTACCCGCACCTTCCACAAACGACAGGAGGCCACCAGGTGAGGCGGAGAAGGAGGGTGGGGGCGAAGCACAGGGACTAGAGAAGGAGCTAGTTCTCCAAGAGACACTCATTCATTCATCCCTTCATTTACCCATCCATTTGTCTTTCTGATCATCCAGTCATCCGTCCATCCATCCATCCATCCCCTTGGCCAACTGTTTATTGGCATAAGCCACTTTTCACTCACTTCTACCCACTCATTAATCTATTAGCTAAGTGATTAACGCAACATACATTGGGTATCTGCTCACGAGTCCTCAGGATATAAAGGTAAAAAATCTTGGTTTCATCCCTAAGAAGCTCAAAGTCAGCTGCAAAAGGAGACAGATGGGGGAAAACAGGGACAATGGCAGAAGAGTTAGATCATTACTATCCTTGGGGCTTGAACAAGAGACAGTGGGAGCAGGAAGGAAGAATGGGGTGGGGGGTGCTGGCAATATCTAGGTGAAGGCTTGAACCAGGTGGTCATGTGAGTGAAGAGAGAAGGATTTATTTGAAAGGATATTTGGAGACTGGCTTAGGGGGCCTTGGTGACCAGTTAGAAGTGTGGTGTGAGATCCATTCAGCATTCTGATAGCGCCCTTTGAGTCTACCCCTGTCATCCCTGCTTGAGATCTTCCCATGCTCCCCAGCGCCCCAAGGATGGAGCCCAGATCCCTTGGGAAGGTGCCAGGCTATGTGTCTATCCCTTTGCACAATGTGCAGGCTCCTCCAGGGAAGTTGCCGGATCTTTTTGATAACAGCCCCTGTCTGGTGCCCTAAAAGGGTCTGGCACAGGGTTGGTGCTCAATAAACCTGTGCTGAGTGTATGTTTGCATCTACCCCTCTGTCATCTTTCTATCTGACCATGATTCATGCCCTTACTCGAAGGACTGATGTTGAATCTGAAGCTCCAATATTCTGGTCACTTGATGGAAAGAACCAGTTCATTGGAGAAGACCCTGATGCTAGGAAAGATTGAAGGCAAAAGGAGAAGTGGGCAGCGGAGGATGAGATGGTTAGATGGTGGTGTCACTTCTCAATGGACATGAATTTGTGAAAAATCCAAAGATAGTGAAGGACAGAAGAGCCTGGGGTACTTCAGTCCAAGGGGTCACAAATAGTCAGACACGACTCAGGGAGTGAATGACAACAATTATGCATGAACTCACCCATACTGAGTTTCCGTCTATGTTAGGCACTGTTCTATGTGCTGGGGATACATTGGTGGTGAAGAGGACAGACAAGGAATCCTGCTCTCATGAGGCTTACATTCTACTTGGAAAGAAGGATAATTAATAAAGAAATGAACAAAACATAGAGGTAGAGATGGAAAATCTCTGGGAGGTAGATGGGGTGCTGAGGTCTCACTTTCTCTGACCTTTGAGCAAAGACTTGATTGGCAGGAGGAACTGATAATCAGACCTGGGGGAAGGTTGTTCCAGGTGGACTAGGTACTATCTATTCAACCATCCACACCATTCATCCATTACACCCACGGAGCCCATCACCATTTCTTTCTCTTTCCCATTCATTCATCTGTCTGTCCCTCAAACCAACGGGCATTACTCTAGCTCCTACTAGATATGGGGGTGAGAGAAAGAAAGATCTGGGCCCTGCTGTCAAGGAGAGCTGCTTTGCAAGGGGAAGGTGAGGTCACAGGTGTGTGTGCCGAGCTCCACAAGGCTGAGGACGGTCAGAGTTTGGGCACACCACTGGCTGGAATAGGCAGGAGGCTTCCAGGAAGAGCTGAGACGGCCTGAGCTGGGCCCAAGGGCTGAGCTCCCAGAGGCAGCCTCCATCCAGTTTGACTTCCACGACAAACCCCATTCCCTAGGCCCCTGGCTCTCTGGGCTGTGGAAATCTCTCCTTCTAGGTTCCCGCAGGCCCCCTACCTGCCCCTGGGCCTCCATGAGGCTCCTGTTCCCTGCAGACTTCTCCCACCCCTCTGCTTTTTCTCTCCCCCCAACCCAAGAAACCTGCTGCGGGCCTGGGAGCGGCAGCAGCAGGAAGAGCGGCAGCAGGCCGAGGTGCGGCGGGCCCGGGAGCAGCGAGTGCAGCATCAGGTGGCTCGCTGCCTGGCAGCCTACGCGCCCAGAGGGAGCCGGGGGCCCGGGGCTGCCCAGCGCAAGCTGGAGGAGCTGAGGTAGGAAGCCCAGGGTTGTGGGGTCTTGGAGGGGAGAGGGCAGGGAGGCGGTGCTATCAGACTGAAGGACCAAGGAGACCTCGCCCTCACCCCACCCACGGGGCTGAACCCCCAGGACCGTCCTCCCTGCCAGGTAGGCAGGTCGGGCCACTTTACAGATGAAGACACTGAGGCCCAGGAGGAAAAGGGGCTGGGACAGGTCACCCTGTTATTTATTTATTTATTGGCTTCACCTTGTGGTATGCGGGATCTTAGTTCCCTGGCCAGGGATTGAACCCAGGTCTCTGCAGTGGAAGCGTGGAGCCCTAACCACTGGACAGCCAGGGAATTCCCAAGGTCACCTGGTTAATAGTAACTATCCCAACAGCTGTCAAAGGCTCAAGTTTGAATTGTTCTACATGCATCATCACACTTTCAAATCTTGTTTTCTGATTTCAGATGCGAGGTGTGCATACTATAAAAAGTCATGTATTACAGAGATAGTTTGTGGAGAATGTAAATAGTGCCTATGACCTGATTCCTGGAGACAGCTGTTGTTCGTGGTCGGGGCAGAGTCATCCGTTTCATTTTCTTCCTATGTTTTGATCATAAAAAATGCAAATTAAGATTTAAAAGCAAACCTTTTTTAGACTCATAAGAATAGGTATTATCACCACTCCCATAATTTTACAGATGAAGGAAGCTCCAAGAGCTTAAATAATTTTTCAAAAGTCACAGGTGAGCAGCAGTTCTGGGATTCCAACCCAGGCAGCCATTCGGCCGCCATGAAGGGCTCAAATGCCCAGTCTCCAGCTACAGTATGCCAGGATCTTCCCTGCAAAGTCCAAGTTGGTAAACCAGATAACTCAAAGAAATATGATCACTGATGCCACTGACACTGAGCACTTCTAGGGTGCAGCTGGCACCAAGGCAGCCCTCCCATCTGGGGAGAAGCACTAGGTCAAGGTGGGTGGGGTACTGCTGAGAGACCAGGGGGTTCCTGCCCTGTGATGGGGCCACTGAGGATCCAGTGGGGCTCCAATCACCTACTCTTTGAGGCTCAGCCATATCACCCCCAACTTTGCCAATGAGGAGTCCTTGATCAGTGAACCGGGAGATGCCTTCTCCCTGCTGGACTTCAAGTTCACTTTTTTTTTTTTTTCTCACAAGGCAGGAAGCCGAAGGCTCGGACTCCAGTGGCAGGTGTCAGTGAGAGGAGCGTTCCCAGCACAATCCTTTCATTTTCTACTTGGGAGCAGATATTTCCCATGGGGAGTGTCTCAGTGCTTCCAGGCCTTGACCTTAGCTCTGAGCTGCGTGCAAGATTCTGCCCTTCCTAGGAGGGAGGGTACAAAAGGCATAGCCCTGTGGTGGGGAGGCTCCGAACCTTCCTTTTATTCTGAGACAATAGACAGGGCAAAACCCCACTGATATGACTTCCTTTCTTGCTTAGAGCTCCAAGACGTGGGCTTCCTCTCAGTTCTAACAGAAATAGCCTCAAGAACCACACAGGAAAAATGTACGCGACATCATGGGCAAGACAGAGATATAGCTCCGGCCTCCCCCACCCCTACTCCTTGAAACTGCTGTAACATCCCCCCTTGAACGATGAAGACTCTTCTTCGCAGTGACTTCTGTTCCCAGTCGTGGTTTTCAAGTCCATCTTTTTCTTGAACGGAGAACGTTTCTTTACCGGGCACACAGCCAAGGGTCCTGGCCCAGCAAGCCAGGGTGCTTTTCTGTGGGGCCCAGCACGTTTGCCGGAGGCTCCCAGCAGAGGCACAGAGTCTTGCATGCCTCTCCCCTCCTGTGCTGTCTCTGCGTGCTGCCGCCACAACCCTCAGCCCCTCTAGAGTGCTCAGCAGAAGGATGCCTGGTCCCACGTGTGATGAGCTCAGAGGACACTTCTCACAGCCAGGACTCGCAGCTTGTAGAGCCGACAGATTTCTGACAAGCGCACAAACTGGGTTTTTGTAAAAGGATTGTGCTTCTCCAGTGGGACCTGGATCTTTCTGGGATGTGTTCCTTCACTTGCAGTTTGTTTGTTTTTCAGTCACTAAGTTGTGTCTGACTCTTTGCAACCTCATGGACTGCAGCACGCCAGGCTCCTTTGTCCTTCACTATCTTCCGGAGTTTGCTCAAACTCAAATTCATTGAATGGGTGATGCCATCCAACCATCTCATCCTCTGTTGTTCCCTCCTCCTCCTGCCCTCAATCTTCCCCAGCATCAGGGTCTTTTCCAATGAGTTGGTTCTTCGCATCAGGTGGCCAAAGTATTGGAGCTTCAGCTTCAGCATCAGTCCTTCCAGTGAATATTCAGGGTTGATTTCCTTTAGGATGGACTGGTTGGATCTCCTTGCTGTCTAAGGGACTCTCAAGAGTCTTCTCTAGCACCACAGTTCAAAAGCATCGATTCTTCATTTGCAATACATTTCTTTAGTTCCACTGTCCCATTTTCTAAACTATCAGCTTATAAGAAGCACAGAGAATGCTGGCAAGCTTGTCCCATACTGGCTATAGTACAGAGAAGAAAACCGAACCCAGGGTCCAGAGTGCAATCTTGCCCGAAGCCACAGCCGACAGTCACAGCTTCTCCTCACAGGCAGAGAGGGTGCAGGGGTGGACGCGGGGAGCGCAGGGCTGTGCATGCAGATGTCCAGTTGCTCAGAAGCCAGTGCTGGCCCCTCTTCCTCGGGGATGGCTGTGAGGATGCGTGAGCCTGGCGCAGTCTGCAGACCCAGGCTCCACGCTCAGTCCCTCACTTTCCAAGTCCCTCGACCCTCCTGAGCCTCAGGCGTGTCATGGACAAAATGGGGGCAGATGATTCTCACTCCCTTCATGTCAGGGGGAATCTCAGTGGAAGATGGAAATGAAACAACCTTGTAAAGCTAAGGGCAGGAGGACAAACAGAAAGTCCTCAGTGAGGGCTCACGAGTGGCGATGGCGTGAGTCCACGGTTAGCTGCCCAGAGGCCCGTCTCCCCTCAGGCGCCAGGAGCGACAGCGCTTTGTTGAGTACCAGGCAGAGCTGCAAGGCATCCAGCACCGGGTGCAGGCCCGGCCCTACCTGTTCCAGCAGGCCATGCAGGTGAGGCTGGCACCTGGGCAAGCATGTGGGCTCCCCAAGAGCAGAGCTTCTCACCGGCCGAGAGGGTAGGGAGATGAGGCGGGAGGGGCCCCCTCAGTTTGGACCCTGGGACCCCCTCAGTAATCAGAGTCTCACTGTGTCCTCGGGGCAGCCCAGGTGAGAGAGGGGACCCCTCTGCTTTCTCATCAGGCCAACGCCCGGCTCAACGTGACCCGCCGCTTCTCCCAGGTGCTGTCGGCGCTGGGACTGGATGAGGAGCAGCTGCTGGCTGAGGCGGGCAAGGGGGACATGGAGGGCGCCCCCAGGAAGCACAGGTGAGGCCCCGCTGTGGGGAGAAAGGCCATGGTCACCAGCACCCTGCCCCGCGGGGTCTCACTCAGCTGTCACCCTGCCCAGGGGACAGGCTAAAGGGCTTCCACCGGCAGCCACATGGGTCCACCCTGAATTTAGACTTCCATGCCTCCCTGTCCACTCGCTGGCCAGGAGGACTCAGTCTAGCTTTCGCAGTCAGCAGGCTTGGGGGGCGGGGGTAGTCTCCTGCTCAGGGTTTCAGAGTATAGGGGCCACATTTGAAAGCACCGACATTGGTGATGAAGGCCTTGCCCCTCCTACAGCCCAGGTATCCTTGGTTATGGGGGTGGGGAGTTGCAGAGCCCAGTGGTCTCTATCTGTGTCTTCATCTTTAAGGAGCCACAGGTCAGTGGGGGCGAGAATGGAGCCCTCATCTCAGAGCTCCCCAAAGATGGAACCCACTGGCAGCCAGGCTGGCCAGCACTTCGCCCCAAATGCAGACCAAGAGTTGAATCCCTAAGAGAAAAATTAAATGCTTTGTGAAAATACAGTGTGGGATTTCTGGCGGTGGTGGGAAGTGGCTGTGGGTTGGAAGTAGGCGGTGGCAGGTGGGTATGCAGCAAGCTCGGCTTGTGCTCACATCCACCAGGAACGCTGGCTGTTCCGGCGGCCCCCGCCCAGCACACACGGATCTGTCTCTGCCCAGAGGAGTGAGTGGGGCATCTCCCAAGAGCAACAGCTGCAACTCCTACAAATGCTGGGTCCTGGAAACTCAAGAGTGAACAGGACAGAATGCCTTCCGCCTTTGGGAACGCCCAGTCCTGTGGGGGAGGGGGCGGGCCTTTAAAAGGGCGCATTATCACACCCTAACAGATGGGCTGGCAGATCGAGCAACTGGGAAGTGGGGGTGTCAGGAGGAATTGTGTGAACTGAGCTTTTACACTTAAGTAGCTACAAGTTACAGTCTCCTCAAAGGAAAAGAAAAAGAAAAGCTCACACAGACGCATGTGCCAAATTTTGCGTTCAATTTCAGGGGGTTTACAGACACACAGAAGCTCAACTCGACCTCCGGGGCAGTCACAGAGCTCATGGTTAAGAAACCCAATCCAAGGAGCGTGGCAAAGCAGCGTTGGCAGACAATACTAGTAGTAGGGGTTGGAAGGAAGTTGGACTGTGGAGCTGGGGGTCTCGGGAGGAGAACATGCTACGTCGTTTAACACCTGATGGAGTCACGACCCCAGGCAGTACACTAGGAGACGCCTACTGGAGAGTTGGGCGCTGCCCAGGGAGAATCCGTGAGCCAGTGAGCATCCGTAATTGAGGTGTGAAAGCAGAGGGAAGCCGGGAAGGGGCTTCCAGCTCTGGCAATCCTGGCTTGGATGATCTCTAGGTCCCATTCTGGGGTACTGTCTTCCCCAGACCCAGTCGCGAACCTTGAGGCGCGCATGCGCAATCGGCCGGCCGGCTCAGCCACCGCTACCCCGGCCCTGCTAGCTGCGACTGCGCAGTCGGGTTTAGATCCCGGCCTTCCCATGAGCCTTCGGGGCGGGCACCGAGGCAAACGACGGAAGCAGCCGCTCTTGGTTTCCGGCAACAGGACACCGGCTGTCGGGCGACCCGGAAGTGTTCCCATTTTGCGTCGTCGGGGCTCGGCGGCGGCCGGGCTCGGGGTGGGCCGACTACCATGGGATCGTCAAAGAAGCACCGCGGGGAAAAGGAGGCGGCAGGAACTACAGCAGCGGCCAGCACTGGGGGCGCTACCGAACAGCCGCCTAGGCACCGGGAGCACAAAAAACACAAGCATCGGAGCAGCGGCGGCGGCAGCAGCGGCGGCGAACGACGGAAGCGAAGCCGAGAGCGTGGGAGCGAGCGCGGGGGCGGGCGGCGCGGGGCCGAAAACGAGGCCCGCAGCAGCACGCACGGGCGGGAGCGCAGCCAGACAGAGCCGTCCGAGCGGCGCGTGAAACGGGAGAAGCGGGATGATGGCTACGAGGCCGGTGAGGGGCCTGTGCAGGGGGCGGGGCTTCCGTAGGTGCCCCGGGTAGGTGGGCTCTGGGTTTGGAGGCCGAGGCGTCCCCCAGCTTTTTCGTCAGCACTCTTTAAAGGGTCTTCCTATGGCTATTTGGGACTGAAGGTTGTCTTTCTCTGCTAAAATCTTTGAGGGTAGAGATTTTCTTTGGTTTCTTCAATTGGCATATCACGAGCCCTCCCTGAATGTGTTGAATGAATGAAGCGATGGCAGCATGTGCAGAGGCAAGAACAAACGTGTTATTGTCAAAGTTGTGTAGAGTTCATAGCAGAGACAGGAGTCTGTAAGAGAGACACGGTTCCGAACACGAAGGGCTGTATAGGCCTTGTTAAGAAATTGAAACTTGCTTTGAGAGGAAGCCGTGAATTTGAACTGATGAGTGAGTTGATCACGTTCATATTTTGCAAAGATCACTGTGTTGAGAACTGGGACAAGGGCAGTAGAGACTGAAGGTGAGATGAAGACTGATGGTAGCCTGCACCGAGGCATCAGCCATGGGATGGAGAGACATGGACAGATTGGAGAGGTGTTTTGGAGGAGGAGGTGATGGAGCTTAGCATTTGGATGAGGGCTGGAAAGAGAAGAAGGAATTGAGGGTGCGCCTTGAATTTTGACTTGAGCAATTGGTTGAGTGGTAGTGATCTCTGCTGATGTTTTCCTGGTGGTTCAGTGGTAAAGAATCCGCCTGTAATGCAGAAAACAAAGGAGACATGGGTTTTATCCCTGGGTCGGGAAGATCCCCTGAAGGAGGGCATGGCATCCCACTCCAGTATTCTTGCCTGGAGAATCCCATGAACAGAGGAGCCTGGAGAGCTACAGTTCATAGGGTCGCAAAGAGTTGGACACAACTGAAGTGACTGAAGCACAGTGCTGTCTGCACAGTGCTGTCGACTGAACTTCAGGATTTTGAAAGAGAAACAGATTTTTGAAGGGAGACAACCGAATTCCGTTTTGGAGAGTGTTGAATTTGATGTGCATGGAGAAACCCAGGGTTTGGGCTGGATAGAGCAGTTTGGGAATCATGAGTGTTTAGGTGGCATATGAAATCCACTGACAGACTAGGAGTAGGAAGCCAGGGTTGGTAGCAGAACCTGATAAATGCCAAGGTTTTAGTAGAAGGTTGAGCAGGAGGCTACAGAAAAAGGAGGTAGGCTATCCCCCAAAGCAGGAAAACCATACAGTCTTGTGTCAGGGGATCTGTGGGAGTGATCATCTGTGTCACACCGTATTGGAGACCAGATGAAAACCAGAGCTGAAAAGAATCCTTGGGGTTTTGAAATGAGGCTGGTGATCTTGGAGAGAGCCTGGAGTGGTTGAGATTCAGAGTTCAAGTGGGATAAGAGGGACAGAGGTAGGTTGTGAGGTGAACATGCTGGAACAGTGAGCTGTGGGTGGCACCTGGTAGGGGCAGCTCCATCTGAGTCGGAATCTGACTTCTGCGTGTGGTGTCTGGTGAAGTCATTTGCTGTTTGTGAGGTGAGTGGAGGAGGTCCTAAATGCCCCTTTATCTCAGTGATCTCAGCAGCATCACAGAAGAGGCTCCAGTAAGCACATTTCTTCACTGCATGAATTACACAGAGGGCATAGTTATGCTGCCAAATGGTCCCTGCCCTGTGAGGAGAGTCGGGTCCAGAAATGACTGTGATCAGGTTGTGCAGAGGAGAGCAGTTCATGCTGACCAGTAACGGAGCAGGACTCCAGGGAGGAAGTGGGGTCTGATAGGATTTTGTTAACAGCCTGAGGCCAGAGAGGGCAGTGCAGGTTGAAAGCACAGGATAGGCAAAAGTGGAGAGGTGGCAAAGTGAGGGATGTAGAAAGCTGGACCCTTTGGATCAGGAAGGAAGCTGTGGGGAGAAGCAGCGTTCTCAGAGCCTGGGACTCGGGTGGAAGGAGCTCCTGGAGGGGAGGAAGCAGGCCCAGGTGCTGGGCTCGTCTTCGGCCCTGCACCCGGAGCCAGGGCTGCGGCTCCTGGGCCCAGTGCTCAGCTCCTGAGTCTTGCTGCTTCTTGTTCCAGCTGCCAACTCCAAAACTAGCTCAGGCGATGCCTCGTCACTCAGCATCGAGGAGACCAAGTAAGTTCTGTCTCCTTTTCATGTCTGTTTTCTTCTGGGGTAGCTGGGGAGGCTTTTGTGTAGTACATGTTCTGATTGAAGTTTGAAGTGTCATGTAAATCAATCTAGCCAACCATCTGAGTTCCTGAACTGGACTCTCAGGCCCAGGAGAGGGTGGCCTTGCCCTGGCTAGGAGGCAGGCCAGGCCTTCTGCCTGATCGGGAGGCCAGTACTTCTCCCACTGCTGGGTCAGGCCCAAGGTTTGAGACCCTTCGGATCACCCAGTCCCCTTCTGTTTTCTCCCTGTTTGTACAGAAATGCATTTGGTGCCCCCATTTCTTGGACAGCTCATAACACTTGTATCTGTTGTCCTCAGTAAACTCCGGGCAAAGTTGGGGCTGAAACCCTTGGAGGTTAATGCTGTCAAGAAGGGTGAGTGTGGGGCTGAAGGTGGTGGAAGGGAGGGCATTTGGGGTCAAGGAGCAAGGCCGTCGGGAGGGATTTTTGAAGAAAGTGGGCTTGGAGTGCAAATCAGCACCACTCAGTGGTCCCGCTTGGGTGCTGGCCGCAGGCCCGGGGCTTCCTTGCTGCTGTGATGGGGTCTGGGAGTCGGCTGGTTCCTTAAGCTCGAGCAGTCGACATGGCAGTCTCAGTCTGACTGCGAAGTGGCGTTAGAGGGACCACGAGATGCACACAGGGCTGCAGACTCATCTGCGCTGTGCACGTGTGGGGCTTTTTTGTTTTGGTTTTTAAAGTATGACCAGAGGGGCTTTGGAAGGCGTGGAGGGCCCCATCTTCTTGTGGGGGTGACATGGGAGTGTGGGGTTACATGGGAGTCCGGAGGCAGAGGATTCTTCCCCTGCTTCTGGCTTCTTTGGCCCCGTGAGCGGGACGGGGCAGTGTGAGTGGCTCCCTCCTTTCCCCACCAGCCTTGGGCAGGCATAGCCTCACGCCTGGGCCTCCCTTCCAGAGGCGGGCACCAAAGAGGAGCCCGTGACCGCTGATGTCATCAACCCCATGGCCTTGCGACAGCGCGAGGAGCTACGAGAGAAGCTGGCGGCTGCCAAAGAAAAGCGCATCCTGAATCAAAAACTAGGGTAGGGTCCCTGCCGGGTGGGCCCGGGCAGGACCTGAGGAAGCACCCAGGAGATCTGGAGTCGGGGTGGGGGGAGCAGGAGTTGGTTCCCCAGAGGATCTTTCTCCTCTGTCTTCAGGAAGATTAAGACCCTGGGGGAGGATGATCCCTGGCTAGATGATACTGCGGCCTGGATCGAGAGGAGCCGGCAGCTTCAAAAGGAGAAGGACTTGGCAGAGAAGAGGGTGAGGTGCTGGGGTGTCACTCAGTGCCTCTGGTGGCCTGATGGCTGGTGGGGCCACAGACGAACCGTGGGGAGGTGAGGCCGGGGGCTCAGAGCGGTGAGGGACCTGTGGTCAATGGCG